TAGAAGTATGTATTTACTCAGTATAATTAATCAATCAAAAATAAGGCATATGGAACTACAGTAAAATTATTATTAAAGGATTCGCCCAGGAGTTAATATACAGATTATATCGCTCTTGAAGTGTAAAAGTTTTGATGTAATATTGAATTATGTTTGATAATTCGCCGAAAATAACGTACATGTTCTGTGTTGTACACCATATAGCGTATGCTAAGTATGTTGGAATGTAATTGTTCTTAACATTGTACCTTTATGAGTCAGAGCATTGGTCATAAAACTGCAATAAATTCAGTACAGCATCAAGAGATCATCTTACGTTGCCGTTTATTACCATGAAAAGTGATATTCAAAATAATTATGCTTTTTATTCATTTAAATTCAAAATATATTTATTGTATTATAATTGTAATAATTTATTTTTCGTCACAACGACGTTTCATTAGCATCGATGGCATTACTATAATCCTTTATTATTGGTATCTGATAATTCCTTGCATAGCAAATCAGAATACGTTGTCTAAACAATCAGTGTTTAGACACCTGTAAAGTTTTTATATAATTGTCTGTACATAACGCTTATTAACAAAGGCCTTTATAATTTTATTTTATATCAAGACAACTCCCGGTATTAGTCTTTAAAAACTCTTAACATGAAATAAATGTAAAAACCTAAATATTGCTAAATTTTTTAAAGACAACTCCCGCACTAGTAAAATATCCTGTGTCGCGGGGGACTTTACAAAAATACATGAAACTCACATAAAAAAGACCCAGACTCAGAACAACAATCAGTGGATCCCAGTGTGTTATCCCATGAGGGGATCGAACCCAGAACAATCAGCGCAGTCCCATATGGGACAACACTTTGTGCGATCCACAAATTGTTGTTCTGATTCTGGGTGTTGTTTGTGTCCGTTTTATGTATCTCTGTAAAGTCTCCCGCGACACAGGATATATTCCTAGTGCGGGAGTTGTCTTTAAAAAATATAGCAATATTTAGGTTTTTTACATTTATTTCATGTTAAGAGTTTTTAAAGACCAATACCAAATTTGTCGTTTTTGAAAATTATGATATACATTTTTTTTTTAACGTATTGTATTCGTCTCAAGTAGGAAAGAGACGGAAACAAACAAAGTTAATAGTAGCTTTATAAAATAGACTATAGTAGGTTCAATGTTACAAACATTTCGTTACCTGAATTGATTAACAATATAAGGGCATCAGCTGCATATTTTCACATTAGCAACACCGTATTAAGGAAATAGGTTCGTATGTCGTAGGCAGGTGGTCTGCAACGACGCGATGCACTTACATACATTAAGCATAATTTAGTATATTTAAATCTAGCTAGGTTGTTTTATAATTCTAGGTAAGACATGAGTCAATTGTTATTTTATAGTAGTTAATTTATTATTATTTTTAAACTTGTCATGAGAGAGGTATGCGACGACACAAACATGGTCGACCAAAGTGATCCCATCACAGAAAATGGTGTTAAGCTGTTAAGAATCCAAAACACTCCCCCGATTCTAGGGCTAGGACTCACATCACACATCACATCAACAGCCTTTTGTAGTCCACTGCTGGTCCAGTGCTGTGGTCCCGCGTAGTTTGCTACGTTACTCGGCACTTACGACACCCATGGGAAGAATAGAGGTGGTGACACTTCGTATTCATAATCCGTCACCACACGGCAAGTAAACCTATTATTAAAGAGAGGTTACTAAATGGGAGTAGCGCACTTGTAAGTCTCAGGTGAGAGGCAGTAGTCACTTATGATCAGGTGAGCCCCTTGCTAGTTTGACGCCTAAACCATAAAAAGGTGCAGAGTCAATGTCGCCGTTGTAGTTATTCTGACGGGCGTGTTGGTTAGTGACCCTACAAGCCGGAGGTCGTTTGTTTGATTCCCACCCAGGACAAATATTGTGTGATGAGCACGGTAATTTGTTCTGTGTCTTGGTATACTTTATCTGTAATATACATGTATTTAGAAATATACAAGTATGTTTATCAGCAGTCTGCTATAGCACAGGCTCTGCCTAGTTTGGGATCAGACGGCCGTGTGTGAGGTGTGTTAGGGATATTATATTATATGCTATTAGACTATCAAATTACATTCATTCAAAACTAAACATAAACAGACAAAGTGTCGCTGAGGGTCTCGTGAAGACCGATTCAAGTCACCGATTAAGTCGGCCGTTCACTTCAAGCGGCGGGTCATAAAGGCACAATGCATAGCGGGGGGTAGGTTATCACAGTATATTACAACCATGGCGTAAGTAAAACACGAATTTAAAACTACGAGGTGATTTTAGTTTTGTCAATAAAGCCTGTTCAACACAAGTATAATAATATTTGTTTGAATTTAAGTTTTCAAATTGACTGTTTGTTTAGATTAGTCTCACATAGTCATGTGTGAGTACACTTATCCCAACAAACTGAACAAAACAACCTGCCAAAGTAAACCTTCGTCTTTTGACCATTTAAATAAAGGCATAATAAACTGAAATCCTTTCACAAAATTGAAAGAAGTATATTAAATAAAAAAGCATCAAATGCTATGTAAAGTTACATTCAAAGATAACAGATTTCAAGATAACACCAAAAATAGAAAAGATCAAGAATAAAAAGATGAATGCAATGCTTTACAAGATCCATATACACTTACCTGGTGCCTATAAATAGCCGAAAATAACTAAGTGATTGCCATGAATTATTAAAATATAACTTTAAAAATAATAGGGAAGGTGTTGTACCTATGAACGGTTTTACCTGTGGACATCATTAATATTTCAAAAAATAAACACAGAAATTTAACGAATTGAACGCATCCGTAAAGTATTTTTGATGTGTGGCAACGTTGACTTGCTGCCATTTTGGATCTTTTGTTGTGTGACCGGTGACAGACCGTTAAGGGTTTTCGCTCAAAAAAGTAAGTATTTGTCTCTTTTTCGTCCTATTTTTTTGTGAACATATGCAGAATTTAGATGATTATTTTTAGTCATACTGTAGTACATGTAGTTAACAATCCATTTACATCGGTATAACGGTGTAAACTAGTACCTATCATGCCGGTAATAGATTTTTAGGTTGTATTGTCTGATTTGTACCTGTGGACATCGAAGTGTATGTACCTATGGACTGTCCACAGGTACAAATTTTTTTTCATTTTTCAGTGTCTAAAAATGAAAAAAAGTGTCAGTTTTGTGTCAGTTTTGTGTGAAAAACGCGCCGTAGGTTGTGTTCAGAGACGTTATCTGAGGCAATTAGTTGATGTTCATTGCGAAAAGTTGCAGAAAAATATAAAATACCAAAATCTACGATATTTAAATACCTTCACATGAATAAGGAGAATGATCTGAGCGAGAACAGGGTAGTTATTTTGAGAAATGACGTGAAGAAAGTATTTGATGAGGAAGAAGAAAAACAGCTTGCAGAATATTTAGATAAAAATAAAAATTCAATCTGCAGAAAAAAGGGTCACAATTCTTCAAGATGACCAGTTACCCTAAGCCATGTGTATGGGATGTAAAAGACATGAAAATGTTTACAAACTGCTCAATTGCTCTCAATGCGATTTGAAATATCACCAGAAATGTGTATCAAGATCACATTTAGATAATTTTGAATCAGATGATGAGTCAGACTTCTTATATCAAAAGTGTTATATTTTAGATGATGGTGATTCAGATGCCTCTGATGATTCTGCCTTAGAACTATATCAAAATTATTTAGATGCCAAAACCAAAAAGAATAATTGATTCTTTAATGTTAAAGTTGATTTATAAAGATATTCTATTTATTTTTGCTGATTTTTATAGGATTATTATGTACGGATAAGTGATCTGTCCATAGGTACATTGCCGTCCATAGGTACAAGTATTTCTGTCCAGAGGTACAATCATAAGATGTACCTGTGGACAAATTTAGTGATTTAAAAAAAACTGGTTTATTTTAATCAACATAATTCGTACAAAACTAAAGACTGCTAATTTTTAAGTGTTAACTAATCCTGGAACAACATTTGTAATACTTTACGGCTAATAAATAAAAATTAAATTATTAAACCATATTTTCATTCAAAATCCGGCAAATGTCCACAGGTATAACACCTTCCCATATCACTTTATGCAGAAAACCAAGACCCCGTCCCCGCTCCCTCATCCCTTTCAAGGAATGCCATTAAACCTATTATAGGACGTAGGTTCATCTCCAGTGTCCTAGTTCTAATGAACTGGAGCAAATCTACTATGTGAAAAAAGAAGTATTCTATATTTGCGATTTAGGAGGCTTTGGCATTTACAATTAGTATTTGTAATAATTAAGTTAATTCTCTACACAATCATCAATTTACGAGTAAAATAACGATTTCTACTTATTTCGGCAACAACATACAATATATACGTGTGTATATGTGAATAAAATTAAGTGTGTATTCCGTCATAAATCATATACATTTTAACACAGTAATGGCCGTCGCTCCTAATCAACAAACTTTTATGATGACCTAAACATAATTGTAATATTTTATTATATCAACGGTTAATCGGTTGATTGACATCACCTCGTAAATGTCATCTGTTACTTCATTTAAATGTTAATTAGAAGACGGTTCTTAGAAGTTTTCAAACATGGTAACACTTATCTGTTTAAATGTGTGCGTGTGAACGTAAATCCGAACATGTTTTACACGCGGGACTAAAAACGCACACATATGTATGTGGAGGTACGTGTGTACGTGTGTATGCGTATACCAACATTTGATATTATGACAGTCGTTTTTAGTTATATAGTAGTTATATTTTATATATATAAAATTACTTTATTATTTCAGGTAATAAATCACCGTAGGTATTATCTTTAGGGCTCACGTCATTCTTTTATCGAATTATACCACTTATTAATGACTCGTTTCCTGAATTAAGAAATGTTGTATGTTGCTTAATCACACTTGTTGTGTTAACATGTTTGGAACATCTTTTATAAAGTGCTAATTAAATTAGGACTTACCATCACTGGCGTTCGTGATGCCGTCGGCTGATCTATCTGAGTCCGATGTGCCGACGAGGTTCCTGATACTAAAAGAGCTCGTCTTTCTTGAAGTAGTCACTTGTGCTGTTACGCCGCTGACGTCACAACCACCCTCCGTTCCGTTCACTAGTTCCCGGCACACCTGTTCAGTCCCGTTCAGAGATAGTACATCGGTCGCTCCACCTTCTAACAAGTCCCCACGACGAGTAGTCAAGTCCATTTTCAAAAGCTATATTCCTTCTCTTAACACACAATGAATTGAAATTCCGAACAGTACTTCTGATTTTCTTTGACATTTTTGGTCACGCCGCGCGGGAAAGTCCGTTACGCAATTTGTAATTGGAACTCATTTCAGTATTATGTTACTTTGAACAAGTTTTGTAAATTTCACTTAAGTCACTTAGCACTCTAGTTTTTAGTTACAGTACTTAGTCATGTTTAGTTTACAACAAATTTTTAGTTTTAGAAACTATGTTTTAATTTGTATGACTTATGTATAGAGCACGTAAGTCTAAGTTGTATAAGCACAGTCTAGGTAAAGTCTAACAAAATATAGGCAAATTTATTAGCGTAAAATTTAAGGCACGTATATTCTCCGCTAAGCACGCAGTGCGCGAATTTTTGCGACAGTCGCGCGCAACGCGCGGTAACTCCGCGGTAGTGAAGGCAACTGGTCCTCCGTCCTCTTCGGCCGTCGCACTCGCGCGGCCCTCCCTACGCCTCCGGAGGCGGAGCCGCACGCCCATCAACGCGCCACGATCATCGTAAAAGTGCAACCGCGCGACTTTTTACTATTTAATTACATCGCGATTTTTTTCTCTCAATCGATTGGTTCTAATGAGTTCTAATTGAGTTTATTAATAAGTATAATGTTTTTGAAATTATTGAAGGCGAAGGTAATCCTCATTTTCTGAGCTGGTATGTCTACTTATGACTTTTTCTGACAATTTTTATTTATTACGTATTGCAATCGTTCTGACATAATTATAGCGGCAGATATGAAGATGTCACATTTTCTTAATAAAACAAGCCGCCTAGATAGGAGACCGGCGGTATTATCACAAGAAGAAGTAGGTAATGAAGGCAGGTAATTGTTAAGGAATGTCTTCTGTTGTCTTTTTATTTAGTCGATTACACATGTTATCAAATACTTACCCTATTTATTAATTGCTTTGAATGAAGGTCTTAATGAACATAATTGTAAGTTTTAAACGCACACAAGCTGTTTTATGAAAAATTAATTAATAAACCCTAAAAGCTACTGTATCGCTCTCACACACAATAGGTATCTACATAGATGCATACTACGGTTGCATATTTAAGTAACTCTACAGTAGTTTAGTAAGTATATCTTAAAAAGGTCTTATCTCATCTTATTTCAATTTTATTTAAATATTAATGAGTTTATTTGCATAAAACGTGGTACATAAGATGTTAAGTACATTAAACAATGAGCACATTTCGCCATTAAATAGAATGCAAATATTTAGTTGAAACATTAAAATAATAAACAGATAAGCAACAATTCGATATTCAAGAATAAGCTAACTAGAGAGCTATAAAAACTTTGGTTTACTTTTTAAAACAAGTTGCAACGGATCTTACTTTTTCATCAATCATCATGATCAACAGCCTATACTAGTCCACTGCTGGACATTCCTTAGAAAGGAGGTTTTGGCCTACTATAACACGCTGGCCAGACGGGTTGTTATAGGGTTTGTTTCAAGTTTTCCTTCTCTTTGCAGTGCTGTTGTCCTGCTTAGTTTTCTCCCTTAGTCGGCTCTTACGACACCCACGGGATGAATTGGGGTGGTGACAATTTGTATTCTTAATCCGTCACCACACGGACTCACTTACTTTTTAGATAAAGTATTATGGTGGGACGCAGTCATAGCTTGTGCATATACGGGTATACACATCTACTTAGGTGTTTTTTGTAAACAAATGCTATGCATTATTAGTAGGATAGCTAATATACTCGTAGCTATATAACCGGGGGAGAGCCACGCCTCGGCTTTTAGAGTCCAGCCAGACCAGAATGATACGGCTTTTCAGATAATCGATGTTAAGCACATCAGTGTTGTATTTTTACCTAAGTACCTAAGTGAGATTGATTAACGTGTGGTGACGAATTAAGAATACGGAGTGTCACCCGTGGGTGTCATAAGAGACGACTACGGGAGCAAACAACGCAAGACAGCACTGAAAAAAAAAGGAAACAAACTCTATACCAACCCATCTGGTATAGTAGGCCAAAACTTCCTTTCTACAGAGAGGCTTATGTCAGAGAGTCCAATAGGGACCATTGTCTATTATAATTAAAAGGCAGAGACAATATCTAAACTATAAACTATTAGATTTATGGACGAAATATTTAATAATGAATTCGAAAGTTAAATTACAATCTTTAATAATACTCCTGGCTCCTCTTAGGGATTTTCCACCCCATCACAAAAAAAAAAGGTATACAATATGTTATGATTCTTGCCAACTAAATTGTTAGATCAACACAAATATAATTTAAGATAATTCAAGGTTAGGTACTATATGTTAGCATATTCTTATTGTTTACTAGTAGGTATATAAATTAGTAAGTCTGGTCGTAAAATATATGTTACATAAGTATTACCCATACAAGTAACATAAATTTAAATTACGTAAATTTAAAATAGGTATTTAGATATATTTGTTTTAAAGTGTTTAAAGCATTGTAAAGTTGATTAAAGCAACCTATTTTATCTTTTCTCAACATCGCTATTAAGCAGTAACTCAAAAAAGTAATTATTTTGACTTGTTTTGGTAATCAAACCAAAGATAGACGTCACCAGTGGCATTAACTATGCGAGACTGACATCCGATTGCTCAAAGACAGATCGAAATATTGTTCAACTATCACAGGCGTTATGTTAACACTTCTGTTAAAATTTCATTTGAAATAAAAATTTGCTGTAAATTTTGACAGCTCTATTTGCTGATCCGACGATGAATTTGAAGTGCCAGTGCCTAAACATGCTTCCAGAAACTCAATATTAAACTTGGCAAGGGCTTTGAGTAACGAGTTTATTTTCGCCTCTTCGGTCTTTGAAAACTACTGAAAAGGCGAAAATGAACTCGTTAGACAGGGAAATTTGCCTTCCTCATACCTATATAATAAATTGATAGATAGATACATTTTCATTATCTAAATTTATTTATCGTTGTCACCGACCCATAAATTGTAGTTAGCGCTTGAATTTGCAGTACCTACCTGGGGCATCGCTTAAGGCTGTAGATAACTGTATTTGCTCCTATTCATCAAAGTATTAATGGAAATTTCTGGGATTGCAATATTTTAACAATGTAATTTATTATCTGTTCAACTATTTGCTTGATAGTGTCTGTTTGTATTTCTCCGACAATACAATAAGGTCTTTTATGGCTCTGATAATTGCAATATCGATAAAAATATAGACTGCAAAGCCTATGAAGACATACCAATGACCTAAGTATAAAAGATTACACGATGGGAGGATAAATATGATAGTCAATGAGTGAATTCAGTCTAGAATTTTCTTTTTTTATATAATATTTCCTCTTACATAAATAGACCAGGAAAAGTCGACTAAATAGGTGTCTTATAAAGAACTGTCGACTATAAAGCTTTCCAAAGCTGTAATAATTAAGTTGCAAAAAAGTGCCTTTTTAATAAATACATGGCTTTTTGCAAAAACTATGCAACGGACTACGCCAAAAAAAACGACACATAATTACAAATCAGAGTCTATGATTTTTCAAAGTTTGGTAAGCCTACATTTATAATTGTTTATTTATAAAAGTATTAAAAAAAAACAAATATTTTTATCAGGTTTTGCATGTTGTAAAAAAAAAACAAAATAATGAATTGAACGCGTCAAGTTTTTTTAATATCTACAAATTTCGCACTTTTCAAAAAGTCGAGAATAATTAAAATCGCGAAAAACTTCGTTTTTGCAACCTATACATGTAATTACGAAATAATGACACGGTCTCAGCTATTGCATTTTAGTTATACGAGTATTATCATGATGTACCGAGAGGAACCAAAATACGTCTAAATATCACGGTTGGCATATTTTTTTTGAGAAAACCCTCCTTTTCCTGGTCTAACAATATATGTTAATAACTTGCATTTATATTTACGTCTAAATTTCCGTTTACTTATTCGATTTCGAACGAAATTCAAATTAACAATGCATTCTATTTATCTAACAATAAAACAGACATTGTCAATACTGTGGTATTGACAATAGCTGTTTTATCATTGTTGTTTTTACCGCAGTGGAATCGAATAAACAAGTATGTAGTAGGTATGTTTTAATTTACCTTCATTCAATATTTGCTAAGCATATATATTGACATTCACAGCTACATATAATTTGGTCTAGTAGGAAAACCTGCCAACTACAATATTTTTTAGAGCTAGAAATAAAACATAATTACTTTAGCAATTTGAAACAATGCTTATGATGATGAACAACGTGAATGATAAATCTGAGCCTTACAGTTATTATATAAAGGTCCATTATTTATTTACACATCATGCACATTTGCTGCGTTGGAGAAACTAAGCCTAGGGCATTCACTGCAAGTGAACTATTAGGTAATGGAGAGAAAACAGAATATGATATGCATCTAATGTGTAACATCTGACATCTTACCTACCTTCTGACGGCCAACTCGAGCACCACGCACGCTTATTAATCAAATCCAAAATTCTTCATCTTCCTGATTTACGCCCTTTGTCACGAAATCACTTCCTAAGATTGCTGGAAAGCGAGTCGAAAGATGTTACATATCAAAAACAAAGTCTAAATTAAATTAATAGGATTTTGCGTGCTGCGATATATCTACTCTGTATTATTATTACTCGGTATTACTAATCTACAGTTTCAATAAAAAGATAAAAAGTAATTGATGTTGGAATATATCACGATCTTCTAAATATAAAACTTCGTAAACACCGTATCAAATCACAGATTTTTTTTCGCTCGAACTTTTTTCCGCCAGTACGGATAGTCCTATATAGATCCCATGTGTCAACGAATATTGCAAAAAAAAAAAAGCGTGGTAAAATATTGCTGTGCGGTATAATCTAACACCGACTAGACTTTCCATCGATATAATTCTAAAGTTTGGCCAGAGGCGCAAGTAGTGATGAATAAATTGCAGTCGGTGAACGTTATACTGCGCGGCTCCACAAAG